CGCCTGGACCTCAGAGTTTGGGTTGGCCTCTGGACTTTTTGTGGTCGATCGCGACATGGGCTCGGCGGTCGACCGTGTAGCGGGTATTGGCCTGTGTTGTTTTCCAGACCCGCTTCGTTGTGGGTTGCTATATAACCCTAAACCACGTTTTTAGGGTGTGTGCAAGGCAGAATTTGAGCAGTCATTGAGAGGGTTTATTGTTTTCTTTGAGAGAGGATTTTGGAGGGATCTAGAGAGCTTGTTTTGAGGGTTTTTGGTAAGATTTGTAACCCTATTTGTATTCTCTTGATTTCTAATAGTATAAACTCTCCCCTCTTGCCCCGTGGACGTAGGCAATTTGCCGAACCACGTTAAAATAGTTTGTTTATGTTAGTGCTATAGTTTTAGATAGTTTAACCTTCTTGATCGGCGTTTGTGTTTGTTCTCGGCAAATTCCCAACACCAGGTAGTATGTTTATTTGGTTATTATTTATGATTAAGAAATGAGCTTCTCCAAAGCTTTGAGATGATAAGAGGAAGCTCCCCAGTCCAGTCCACAGCAGGAGGCATCAGGTCTGCAAAATTGGGAGACACAATGATGTGACTGAAGACTTGTGATCCACTAGTGTTTGTTCTTTTAGGACCTGTTTGTTTACCGCTGGAAACCAAAACCAAAAAAAAAAAAAAAGAGAAAAAGGCAAAAAACAGCTCTGACACTTGAAGCAAGTGGGCAGATTTCTTAAAAGGGTTTTCTGTTCCTTAGTTTGGGTGGGCTTTGAAATGGGCTTTTTGATTTATCAAAACATCAGTCGTCGTCACCATTTTTAGGAAGCCCAATTCTGAGCTGAACGCTCGGAAATGAGTGGCATAGTTAATTTTTGTGATTAAAAAAAAATTTGCGAGAGGATGCGTATAAGTTTCCAGTGGCAATTATTATGGTCACCGCCTCTTCTCTCTCGTTCCCGCCTATACTTCTTAGCGCTCCAAAACCCTAGCTTGATTCCCACTGATATTCTCTGAAATTGGATCTGTCGTATTATTTGGTTCGATTTGAAGGGATTTCAAATCTTTGTGCTTCTACAGTCGATCTGTCTTTCTTGCTTTAGATCTTGCTTTAGATAATGCTGATCTTTATTAATCTGCTAGTGGAAGGCATATTCTCTGATTTCTTCATACTTATTATTATTATTTTTTGGATCTTGATGTTCGATATGTCTTCTCTTACTGTATTTTAGTGATTTAAGTATGAAAGAATAAATTTTTATTAAAAAAAATGGGAGATGCATCAATATTTTGTACTGCATGCTCACTATTGCACTATGATTTGCTTTGTATTATTATTCATTTCATAGTGTAAAAGGAGACTAAAGTGCTTTGTATTGTAGTGCATGTTTATTATCTCATACCGTATTATTCAATATTTTGTACTACATGTTTAGAGCTGCATATTAATTAGTATATTACTTTGTTTGCACTAATCAGAGATAACTAAAATGTGCATAAAATGTAGAGTTTTTAATTACTTGCTGATTATTTTTTATCATTGGTGCCTTTATATTTGTTGATGTTGTGTGATATTTTTGTTCACAAAGGACTCTTTAATAAAAGCTTAGACAAAACAAAATGTTAATTTGGCTATTATTATTATTATGAATAATACATTTTTTCAAAATTTTGGATATTGTTGATGGATTCTACGGAAGAAGAATTTGTTAGGAGGATCTATTGTAAGACCTCTATGTAATTATATTAGTAATTACAGTGATGAGGAGATTATGAGCGAGATGCAAGCATATTCCTCTACGCTCAAGAGAGTTGCAAATAATATAAGTAATAGAAATGCACTCACGGATTGTATAACTCATGGTTATATTGATAGCTGTAGAGGATATGTACGATTGCGAACTTATGCTTTTAAAAGCTTGCAAGAATAATGAGAAGGACAGGTCTATTGAAAGACTCAAGGCGTGTCAATGTTGAAGAACAACTTGCTATGTTCTTAAATCTTTTGGACCATAAAACGGAGAATAGAATTGTGCGGTCTAATTTTGTTAGATCCGGTGAAACAGTTAGTAGGTACCTCAACAAGATGTTAGGAGTTGCCATCTACACAGTGATTTCATGAAACAAGCACCTAGTGAAGTCCCTCTAGAAATTACATACAATCCCCTATACTATCCCTAGTTTAAGATATAATTGATTAATTAGTTCATAATTATTTTATATGTATGGTATTGTTACTTGTCTTCTAGGACTGTATAGGGATGATAGATGGTACGCATGTTGACGCCATGCAACCCACTTCACTTGTTGCGCAATTTAGAGGCCACAAAGTGATTACACAAAATATTTTAGCCGCTTACGCTCCTAATAAATTATTTACCTATGTGTTGGCTGGGTGGGAAGTATCAGCTAACGACTATAGAATTCTTTAAGATGTCCTTTCTAAGCCTTCACCCCATGGTTTAATAGTTTATGATGGTAAATAAAACTTAACACCACTTGTTTGGTTCATGGCATGTTAATTGGTCATAAAATAATTTTAAATTTTTTTTGCATATAAATTGTAGGAAAATATTACTTTTGTGATGCGGGATATACTATCATGCACAGCTTTATTTCCCCTTATTGTGGAGTGTGTTATCATTTGAAAGAGTATACGGGAGGACACCTAATTAATTGAAGAAAACTATTTAACATAAGGCACTTATCCGTCTGGTCAAAGACAGAATCTGCATTTGGAATATTAAAAAACAGATTTAAAATTCTAAGTGCTAAGCCTCAATTTCATTCCGTTCACAAGTGGATATTGTTTTGGCTTGTACTGTTTTGCATAACTTTATTGCAACAGTTGATCCAGGTGATGAAATATTAAATGAAGATTTTTCCACTGAGGAAGATGATGATGAAATAGTTGAGGAGCACTAGTAGGAAAATAGGTTTTGCTGACGGCAACATCACTGACGGGACAATGCCGTCAGCGATGTTTATATCGCTGACGGGATTAACCGTCAGAAATGTTGCCGTCACAAATTTTTCGATACCGTCAGCGATGTAAACATCGCTGACGGGATATGAACATCGCTGACGGGTGACGGGATGTTGTTGCAAAACCCCCTCGCGCATGGCAAATGCCTCAGGTGATTGTGATTTCTCTAGGTGTCTGTACAAAATATTTTTATATACGATTAATCTTAAGAAAAGAATTAAAATTACCAATTTTATGTTTTTTTTGTGTGTATCTATTATCCAGGGCGGTGTAGATGAAGGGGAGGATCCAAGAGGTGCTGCAATTAGAGAATTGAGAGAAGAGACTGGAGTCACATCCGTCGAGATTCTTGATGAGGTTTGTTTGCTTGTAAATTAATCACAGATCGATAGAAAATGTAAACTATTATTATCATTGTTGTTGTTGTTGGATTCATGTAGTATCCTGTACTCAGTCATGTTTTCGGGGAAATGTGACAATGTGATTTGCTGCCAATTTTCTAAAGATAATAGAAAGGAACAGTGTGCCCATGGGATCAAGAATACTTATTTCTTTTTTTTAGATATATAATTGTAAGTATCTCATAATGCTTATCTCAGGCCTCATGGTCAAGTTCCGTTAAAAGAGATGAAAACAGACTGGCATGCTTGTCTTGACAACAAAATGGGATTCAAGGTGCGACTTTGACTTTTATATTATGTTAACAACTTTGTAGGTGTTGTTTTTTCTTTGTATCAGGGTTTGACAGATTATACTCTTGAGGGTCACATTTAGTTTGTATATAAAGTAAATGATCAGTGCAGTAAGTTCTCACTTGCAGAACTTCTAACATATGGTCTATCTTCCCTGGCTTCTGTGTGTGTGTGTGTGTTTGATGTTTTTTTTTTTTCTTTTTTTGGCGGATGGGGGGGGGGGCGGTTTTGGGCAGTTAGACGACTAGCGCACGAAGTTTTATTGTCATCTCGATATCATGCGATTCTGTTGGTTCATTGTCATTGATAGGATTCAACACTAATTAAGTAAATTCTTCTTAGGTGTCTGGTATCATCAATAACAAAGATATTATCAATGAAGTTGAAAATTATCTACTACCAAAGTATCAGAGCTCTAGACAATCATTAAAACTAAGGACATACACATGAAGCATAAAATCAGAAATCCTATTGTTATGTTCAAGCCAGAATTGTCATGCTCATACAAGGTATTTCCATTTTATAAGATGAGCTTGTCATGTTATTTCTGACAGTCTGATATTCTCTTATCACGAATGAAAAATTGGAGAATTTCTTTTCTCTCATTTGATCTTCCATTATGAATGTTGACCTCCATCATGGAGTTCAAGTAATTTTACGGTCGCAATTGTTTTAATTGTGTCATTTGTAAAACGCTAAAATGAAAAGCTCCTTTTCCTTGACAAGCGTACCTTCTCCAGTCTCTGCTATCTGTAAAAAAATTGAAGACAAATGGAATTTCCCAGAAGTTCCTATGGAAGAAGACTAAAAGGTGAAAACTGCTTATGGAGGCAACTAGTTTAGTTCCATGTATCTTTTTGTTTCAGGAGCTTGTGATGTATTTACATGCCCTGAAATTATTTCTTTTTGTCTACAGTGAGTTATAAGCCCCCTCAAAAGTCTATGAGGATAAGGAGTTCAAGTCACTAATTTGGTTGGCTACTCTGCAACAAGAAGAGACCAGACACAGTACAATTTAGTTAAGTGCATATATTCCTCTGTGACATTGTTTCTTGAGCACACAAACTTCATTAATAATATCATTGTTTACAGATCAAAATGTAGGATGATAGTGTAAGATGTTTAGGATAGCAATTGAGGCTGAATAAAAAAATTAAGATGGACAAGTCTCTATATACTAAAAATAGGATAAGTAATAAGTACCTCTGTGAGAAATCAACGATAGCTTGATTTAAGAACAAAATGAGGAGAATTGATTAAGATAGTCAGGAGACATGTACAACGATGATAAATGAATATGCTAATTAGAAGCAATAGCATAACAGGCTTGATACAGCTACAAAAACTGCATCACGCATAAACAAACATGGGTTAGACAGCGACCAGATGGATATGGTTATTGCTAATTTCCTCATATAATGTGCATTTATACCTTTCCTTGTGTACATATACTTGAGTTCATTTGCTTGCATATGCATGACACAATAAAAATACTTCGATATACTTGTCCTGAAACTTTTGGTTTATGGTGGCAGGCTTGTCACGTGTTATTGGTAGATAATTCAGAAGAGATATATGATGGATGCATAATTAGCGTCCACATACACAGTACAATTTAGTTAATTGAATTTCGTTTGTGTTTTGTAGAATCTTGGTCCAACTGAACCTCCTTTACTTGTGACTCTCAATCCTCCCTGTACTCCTAGGCATACTAAACTTAAATGGAGGACACGCCATCCTGTTCCTTCAGTGGCAGCATCAAAAGCTTCACTTGAGCTTGAAAAAAATTCAGGGCAAAAGATGAGTAAATTCATGTAATCCCAATAAAACATTGTGAAACTATAGTACTTTCACCTAATGTATGGTTTTTGCTTAAACTGTGCAGGTTGCTAGAAGGAGGAGGTACAAGTTTTGTTTTTGAAGGAATCAACACGAAAAGTCACATGGAATCCATCTTGAAAGTTCACACTCCTTTGTTCTACTGGAAGGTTTTCCCCCCTTTCTGTAATTTTTTTAAGTGACTTCTTGTATAAGTCCTCAATCATTTGGCATAAATCAGCAACAATTATGAATTTGCATCTGATATTAGTGTGGCAACTTACTAGCACTCGTCATGTTTACAGATTGCTACACAAGCTGATTTAGGACTTGCAGATGCATATGTAAATGGATACTTTTTGTACAATTAATGCTTATTACTGACAGCGGCCCGTCAGGGATGTTTCTTCCCTGACGGGACTTTTTCTGACGACGTATCCTTGACGGGACGCCGTCAAGGATACATATCCCTGACGGGAAATTTGACATCCCTGACGGGAAAGCCCGTCAAGGATGCCCATTTTTCTACTAGTGGAGGTTGGTGAGAATGTAGTTGATTACTCTCAGAACATGACGTAGTGTAAACAAACTCAAACAAGGAATGAATGGAAGTAATGTAGGAATCAAATTGCTTGAGAGATGTGGGTAGATTATTGTCACGATCATCAATATGGCAACACTACTGAGACTGGTCTTTGATGAAGTCTTCACTATAATTTTTGTGTTGTTTGCAACTTTCTACTACCTAAGTCATTAGAAACATTTTTGTAATTTGGTACTCTCTAGGAAGATTGCTTCTTTTCTGTAATATAATAATCTCTAGGAACCTCTCCGATTTGCTTGTAATTTTCTAGGACCTTGCTTATTTGCTTGTGTTGATACCATCTATTATATTTGGTCGTTTTAGATATTTTCTAGGTTACAGCTATATGTAACTTTTTACTACATTGGTAGCTAATGCTTTGTGATTTAATCTAGCATGCTTACATTTATATATGAAATTGAATGTTATTTGTTTTAAGCTTTACTGTGATCATAAATCTGTTTAGGTATGTTAGAAAAGATTAACCTTCGTACAACTGGTAACCATACCCACTCATGTCTACAAGTGATCTAACTGGCCTTTCTGTAGCTTCCCCCGTTTTCTATCCAAGCATTCAGCAACCATATATTTGGTTGATTACATGGTACATTGTTTTGCTACTTGGTGGTTATCTGTGTTGTTTTTTACACTTCGTTGATTTTTCATGTAATGGGTGGTTATCTATATATTAGTGATGCTTTCACATTGATAGATAGCAACCAACATGGAGTTTTCATAAAATGGATGGTTATCTCTGGTGCTTAAAGTCTATGACGCATTGTCACTAAAAAATCAGGTAGCAATCTATGTGGATTATTTACACGTATTGGATAGCTACCTGTTTGATGACTTAGACACAATTCTGGGCCTAAGTAGCATAATCAGTTTGATATTTTGTTTTCATACGTGCAATATTTAAATTTTTTTATTGGTCATGATCAGCTCTAACTAGTTGGTTGTTGTATTTTGCTATTCATTGCCCAATATATTGGTTTTTGAGTGTATTCTTTGTTGTTTTATATTTTCAGTAGTTTTCAGATTGCACCCTTACACATTTTATGGCTAGCTATGATACATTGTCACTTTAGTATGGTTGCAGCAAACATTGAATTTTCTGTTCAGGGGGAAACCAATGATCATAGTGACATTTATATGAGCCCATGCATCAAAATTAATCATCATGAACAGGAGTGTATTCTATGATATTTTATATCTTCTGTAGTTTAGTCTTTTTGTTGATCGCTTTGCTTTCATGAATGATAGGTCACACAATTAATCTCTATTATATTTTCAAAAAGAAAATCTCATTTATTTCAAAGTACAAATTATAATTGTAATTACAAACAAAAACATACAAGGGATTAGTCCAAGTATTGCACAACATTTCCAAATTTCGAGTTCATGCTCAGTAGATTTCAAAATTTTCTTCAATTACTTGATTTTCTTCAAGTTGTTCTTTGCTGCTACATCACCATCTTCATCACCATTGCCTTGTCTCATAACTCTGTTAGGAACCCAATCTATAGTAGCCCACATAAAAAAAGTTGCATCATCTATTGGAGTAGGGATGTGCAATGACATTCTACTTGAAAGTTTTTAGTTATTATCATTCTACTTGTATACAAAGTGAGAAAACAAGTGAAGGGTGCGTCAAAAAGCAACTTAATTTTGCATTTTGCTACATATTTATGGATATATATGCCTGCTCTTATAGCCGTTGCACTGAATTTGACCGTTGGGATTCATATTTATACATGGGCTTGTTGTTTGATAAGTTCACCACTGGTCATGTGATACTAATTACTAGAGTTCATTTTATTGATTCCAAACAAGAAAACTATGATGAATTCAGTTTGTTCTGTTAGGTTTACTATTTATTTTGTTATCAACAAAACAAGGGAAATATCACACTATATTCTCTGTGCATGAATTCTGAGTGAAAAAAAAAAGACTAAACTACATGAGCCTTTGCACGTAAGGAGCCTTTGCGCCCCCGTATTGCGCCTTGCGAATGGTGCGCGTAAGGGACCTTTGTGCTCCGCATTGCGCCTTGCGCCTCGATAACAATGAGAACCTCAAGCATGACCCGACACCCCTGCACCCTGCTCTCTTTATGATAGAAATGGATTTTATGACCCTATCAAGGTCTTCATTTCTTGGATTCTTGTGCGTATAACTAAAAGGATTAGCTTCAGATGGTGAGAGGAAAATATGGATAAAGGACTAAATAAGTCTGCATCCAGTATTTTTCTATTTATATGAAAATGGACTCATGCTGATAGTTGTAACAGAGAACAACATCATCTCTAATCAATGAAGAAAAGTGAGTTATCGCAAATAAACCTTTTGTAGTATGATCCATTGTAAGTAGACCTATTGTCGTTCTATTTATATGAATAAACGTTTTGAATGATTTTTTTTAAAAATAGTCAAATAGTTTTTGAGGAGACAGATAAATTCCTTATAGTTCTGTTGATAAGGATAGATTTTCAATTGCTAATTGTTGCGCGCCTTGCGGCGTGCTTGCACACCAAACGAGTCCGCAAGCCACGAGAGAAGAAAACCAAATCAAACCACGAGTGCAATCCACCACAACACGACAAAAATCAAACCAAACACAGAGATTTACGTGGTTCGGCAATTGCCTATGTCCATGGGGATAGGATGGAGAGATTTCACTATATGGAGGAGAAATACAACGAGTTACAACTCACAAAATCACTCAAATATAACCCTAACCAAAGCTCTCAACTCCCTCACAATATCTCCCTCTCAAAGTGCTCAAAAGTCTCTCCTTTCTTTACTAAAGAAACCCTAAAAAACGTGTTTGTATTTATATCAAACACCAATCCAAAACCAACTGGGAAAACCGAAACTAGCTCATAACCACATCGCTATCGACCGGTCATAGCCATGTGGTCGACCGGCCAGAAGCACAATTTCTCACCCTGTAATCGTGCACTTTTTCGGTCGACTGCACATTTACCTTCGGTCGACCGATCCAAGAATTATTGTATCCTATTATCCTGACGATTGCGTCGGTTGACCGCCCTTGCACCCTCGGTCGACCGACCCGAGGGTTGCTGTAGCTGTTATTTCAACTCGAATTTTTCTGATTTTCGCCGCGTTTTCTACAATTCTCCACCTCGGTGAAGTTTTCCCAAAACCGAGCCGACACCAAACGTGAGCACCACTGCGTCATCTCACCAAATTCGGCTGCACTAATGTGGTTGCCTATGTATCCCCTCTCCTAAGGGATCAAACCGCCCATAGTTCATCCAAATGGCCGCGAACGACCTCAAGAATCACGAATTTGCAATAAGTTTCTACAATGATCAAACTTGTTGCTCGGATCCACCTTTGTGAGCATATCCGTTGGATTATCTTTTGTGTGGACCTTCATGAGCTCCACATCCCCATCTTCAAGAGCATCCCAAACGAAGTGATAACGAACGTCGATATGTTTCGTACTCGCATGAAATACCTGATTCTTCGCCAAATAGATAACACTCATGCTATCACAATAAATAGTGACAGATCGCTGCGAATCATAAAAATCCTCCAAAAGTCCTCGAATCCAAACCGTCTCCTTAACAGCCTCCGTAATCGCTATATACTCTGCCTCCGTCATCGACAAAGAGAGCATCCCAAACGAAGTGATAACGAACGTCGATATGTTTCGTACTCGCATGAAATACCTGATTCTTCGCCAAATAGATAACACTCATGCTATCACAATAAATAGTGACAGATCGCTGCGAATCATAAAAATCCTCCAAAAGTCCTCGAATCCAAACCGTCTCCTTAACAGCCTCCGTAATCGCTATATACTCTGCCTCCGTCATCGACAAAGTCACCGTAGACTGCAAGGTGTATCTCCAACACACCGGCGCACAGGTCAAAGTAAACACATATCTCGTAGTAGACCAGCGTTTATCCAAATCTTCAGTGTGATCCAAATCTACGTATCCAATACATAACTGCCCACCGCTAGTGTCCCGCTCAAAAACCAAAATAATATTGAGAGTACCTCGAATATACCTCAAAATCCATCTCACGACATCCCAATGACCCAGACCTGGGTCGTGCATGTAGCTAGAAAACATGCTAACTACCTGTGATAAATCTGATCTCGTACAAACCATGGCGTACATTAAACTCTCAACTGTGCTCGCATATGGAGTCGTCGACATTAACTCTCAATATTCAATTGTCTTCGGTGAAAGGTCACCTGAAAGCTTCAAATGGGCTCCCAATGGTACACTAACTGGCTTCATTTTCATGCTCATATTGAACCGCTATAGAATCTTCTTCAAATAAGCCATCCGTGTCAAACAAATTCTATCCTTGTCTGTCTTTGTCGATCTCCATCCCCAAAATGCGCTTAGCTTCACCCAAATCTTTTATTTCAAACTCACTCAAAAGCTGAATCTTCAATCTATCTATCACGGACCTGGAAGTAGAAGTAACTAATATGTCATCGACATAAAGCAATAAATAAATGTACGCACCTCCATTCAACTTGCGATAGTACACGCTAGGATCAAACTGACTCCTAATGTAAGAATGATCGATCATGAACACATCAAATCGTTTATACCACTGTCGAGGAGATTGCTTCAGCCCGTATAATGATTTCTTCAACCTACAAACCAATTTATCCTTCCATGCAGCTCGAAATCTCAATGGCTGAGTCATATAGATTTTCTCATCAAGATCACCATGAAGAAATGTTGTTTTCAC